TTTGGCTCGCCCAGCCACAACATCAGCATAACAGTTACTGCAAAATTATTTACCTCCAACTCTCTTTGTAGAACACCCAATCCCTGTTCCCTGCATCTCCCTCCTGCATAATCTGTTTTTCTTCTCTGTTTGTCTCTCTCCTTGTAGCTGGAAATCAGCTCACAGACAATTTGCGGGCTATATATATAGTTTTTAATCATTCCAGTCTTGCTCGAGAACTCCGGTCTGACGCATGCGGGTTCTCGCGTTATTTCCGTATCACTTCTCGCGTGTGTTTTGTTGTGAAACGTAGTTTGCGGACCAGACAGAGCTGTTGGCGATTATTCCTATTGTGAAGTCGTGCAATGTGAAACCCCCTGTCGCCAATCCATCGTGCAATGTGAACACAGCAGCAACTGAATGCTACATCAGATAGTCACGCAGTGTGAAAACCACGGCGATCCGACGAGTTTGAAAATCATGCAGTGTGAACTCGGCATAAGAATGCAATTGCAGAGCTCTCTAATTCAATTACAGAGCTCTCTAATTGAATTGTTACTAGTAAGAATTGTATTAGAGAGCTCTCTAACTGTAATTCTTACTACTAAGAATGTTGCTGTAGAGCTGTGGAATTGCATTCTTACTAGTAAAACTGTGATTGTAGTGCTCTACAATAACGATTCTTACTAGTAAGAATTGCATTGTAGAGCTCTCTTTTCAGCGCGACCTCATTATAATAATCACGCCTCATGCATATTCATAAAATGGGTGCCTGTCTGCGGGTGACTGATAGCCTTGTGGGCAGTCTGTCAATAACACCGTTGCGCTATGGGTATCCTGAGTTTGAGTCCCGGAGTCCTCGTGGACCTTTCTGATCCCGCACCCCCTCCCCCAATTCACTTATACTGCCCTATCGAAAAAAAGGCAAAAATGCCAAAAATACATCTTAAAAAAAGAAAATGGGGACTCAAGCAGCTTGTTCAGTCAAGCAGCTTTTAATGATGAATAGCAGCGCTGAGGCTCTAATGATCTATTAAGTATTATTATATATTGATTAAAATCATTATAAAATTATTATGCTTTACAGAGAAGAAATATAGGTAGTCTATGTAGCTACTGTAAGTTATTTTTATAGGTGAATTCACACTTACACAGAAAACATGCATATAAATGTATTCTCAGCAATATGCATATTTAATTATTGGTTGTAAAAAACCTGTTTTTGTTAAGCTTTGCAAGGGCTTTATTTGCATTATCCACTCACACAATAAAGCTGAGGCTGGGTCCTGTACTGTTAACAGAAGCATTTACTGCATGATGAAGCCTATTAGAATGCAGTTAGAATGCCACTATAGTTATGAGGGCAAAAATAT